AYWYWTWTTTTTTTTTTTATGAGAGCAAGGGAGAAAATTTAAAGCTGTAACCCTATTTATCATTAAGAGAAACAGGGGAAGCTCAAACTCTGTCTAAACTGTTGATCCATGTATGAATTCCTTAATTCATTTTCTAATTTATATGCTTTCTAGCAAACGAACAAATCAGCCCCAAACTGAATAAATTAACAGGCTACTTTATTATGTGTCCATGAGGGCAAAAAGATAAAATTTATGTTGATTATATTTGCTACATTTTAGCATTTTAAATAGTATCTACTCTAATACCATATAATCTCCTTTGTTGATACTGTCCATACTACAAGTTTTATATATTCCTATTTGAAATAATGTTTGTCTCCTAATGTCACTCATGTATTTAATAATTTTAAAATAGTAGGATTTTTGCTGGGACTGAGCAATGAGAAAAAAGATTTCCTAAGGAATAAATGAAATACATCAAAGAATAATTTGCCAAGCCAATATGGTAGAAGTCATATTTATTGAAAAAAATTAATATCTTTGCTATAAAATTTGTAACAGGAATATTTACTGAATGTTTATTTTGATGCATAAACCTGAATGTTACATACCAAGTACAAGACAGTAGCACTAGTTTTCCCTTTATTTACATTTTATGAAAATTGTTAAGCAGCCCATGTTAAAAGAACTTATGATGGAGAATTGTTACATTAGAAAAATAATATTCTTGATAAAGCATTCTCAAGGAGTCCAATCATCGTTTCTGCCTCTTCAATAAGGCAAAAGTCCCTGGAATAGCATATAACTTAATTTATAAAATACAATAACTGTTCAAACACATATTCAAGTTTTCTTTTGGTATGGTTTTTTTTCTCACTGCAAAATTACTTTTTTCTTGTTTTTTTTTTGTTTTTTTTTTTTAAACTAAAACAGGAAGATTGACTTTCAGGAAAATGTCATTTAATGATTTCAGCTATACATTACATACACAACTCTGTAGCCTAGCAACCACCATCGCTACACCATCATTAACTTTAAATATTTTGCTTGGTGAGCTATTCTCAAATGTAGCCTATTTTAAGATTTTGCCATCATTATGATTGTGGAATCATTGTTTGGTTTTCAGAGGAAACAGATCTGTCACAGTATGAAGCTTTGTTTAGTTTAAGGAACTGGTACACGATTACATTTCCACTCACAAGAGAACGCCACAGATGGAACTCAAGTCAGGCTTTGCTGGCTCGGCACAGGTCCGGTGCTGGACAGCCTGGCCCTCTGGCTCTCACGCTGCACAGCCCTGGCCGCGTTCAGTGGGTTTCAATTCCCGAGATTYCCTGCTCTTCACAGTTAGGTAGTTTTAATTCCTTCAAAGGCACACAACTTCCATCTCTTTTCCAGTGTTGCTCCCACGCCCGTGAATTCCTGCTTGAACATGCGTGGCAGCCTCATCAAAAGCATTTCGATTTCRTTGGCGGATATCTATTAGAAAGGAAGAGAAATCACTGGTGGGAAAGAAGTGCATCTTAAAGCAGGTGATGGGCTGGGGAGGCCCCCTCCCCCTTTCCCCGGGAGACAAACAAGGTTGAGTTCTCTGTGGCTGAGCAATGTCATCCTAGTAGGAGTGTGTGTAAAGCATCTAATGTAATTATCCTGGTTTCTGAGCAGCTGCTGGGACCGGGCATGAGATGAATGGACAGAAGGTTCTGGGTTTGCTCTTCCTGGCTGCCTTATTGGCAAGGCCAAGCCATGCTCAGATTGCATATTCCTCACCCCGAGGACAGAAATATTCTTTAAGTCAGTGAGGAGCAGGGGGCATTCCTAGTGGATTTTTTGCCATCCAAACTTTTTTTTCAGCTATGAGGTACAGTTACATGCTACTGTGTGTGTGTGTGTGTGTGTGTGTGTGTGTGTGTGTGTGTGTGTGTGGTGCTGGAGATTGAACCCAGAGCCTTGTGCAGGCTAGGCAAGTGCTCTACCACTGAGCTACATCCCCAGCCCTGGAGCTGCAACCTAATATCTATCCCACATATCTCCTAGGACTGCTGGGAGAAGGCAGAGAGAATATGGTCTAGATGCTTCACACAGTACCCATAGGAAAAAAAAAAGATACTTTTCAGAAGCATATAAACCTTTTAATAATCTGTTATTAACACAGACCAGAGAGCAAGAAGCCTTAAGAATGAAAACTAAACCCCAAACTTACAACAATAAATATCTTATATGCAGCCATAAAATCCAGGTAGAATTTTTAGTGCAATTTTTTTCATTTCAGATTTTTTATAGTAATTTTTACACCAACAATTCATTTTATTTTAAAGGAAGAACAAATGAACCATAATCCTCCTGTCCGAATTCAGCTGTTGCTCTTGTGTTCCCTGTGTTTACATCCAATCTGTGTGTGTGCCTGGGGATCTCACGAAGCAAGGTGGCTAATTAGGGGTCTGATATTCTGTTTGAATCCTCTATCCTCTATCTACTATGGTTATGAGCTAAATGACCCTTGCAAAGATAATTAGTCCCTTTAAGCCTCAGCAAATGGGACTAACATTTAATAAGGATGTTATGAAAGCTATTGCTCTAGCACAGAGTTGGGCACATAGAAATGCTCCATGATTAGAGCTATTATTATTTCTCATGGTGTAATCACTGTAGAGATCATTTCAGATGCTACACTTTCCATTTAACAATATTAAGATTAACTTAAAATAGAGACCAAATAGACCAGAAAGTCAAATCAACTGTGTTTAATATTCATATGAAAAACATTTTATATATTTTCAATATACAAAACTTTAAATAGAGGCAGTTCAAACAAAAGGGAAATAAACTGTATTTCTAAAATTTTTGTATGAATTATTTTGAAATCTGAATGCATTTGGCCACAAAACCATGTTAGAAGGATTATTAGATTCCCAAGTCAACCCACAGAGGGTGACTGAACAGATTATTAAATGGTTCATGGTGATGTGGAAAAGCAACTCTCCTTTCTATGGGCACCATGCAGATCACTCGGCCCTGAGTTCTCCCTGCATTCTCCCAACAGTCCTGTGAGATACTTAGGTAGATATTAAGGTGCAGCTCCACTTCACAGCTGAGAAAGGTGAGTGAACTACAGAGGGTCGAGCATTTTGTCAATGGCAGAGCTTTGAAGGGAAACAGCTCTGTGTTGGGGCCTGGGAGTTGGTCTGCTTAAAGGACTCAACAGTCCCCCCAGGACTGTCAGCAGTTGTAGCGGGGACAGCAAGGGGTGCTGTGTGGTGCATTCTGAATACCAGGCACCTGGGCCACTTATTAAAAGACTAGCTCCTCCGGCCTCTTCTCCGGGGTCTCTGGGAAGCAGTCTGGGATGTAGTCCAGCTCATCTATTTTTAACAACCACCACTGGGAATTCTGATGACCAGGCACCTTTGGGTTAAGAATGGGGACTTAATTCAGTCAGTCACTGAGAAGTTTCCCTAGCCAGACTGTTCTCAAAACACTTGCTTTTGTTCTCACCACACTCTAATGAGACAGGGAATCACTCACAAATGCAGAAGCAGAGCCTAAAGAGCTTAGATGACCTGTGCAGAGTAACCAAGGCCATATGTGTGGGGCCAGAAGCAGGTCCAGGCAGCGTCTTAATCACAGATGCCAACCTCCACGGGGCTGGAACTGTGCAGACAGGACCAGGAGGGTGTTCTCAGTCATGCCTCTGTGCTCAGGGTGAACATCAGCAGGGAGGGGCTGTGCACAGGAGGGCAGGGCTCTTCTGTGGTGAGTACTATTAGAGTGATATCTACCAAGTCAGCAGCAGAAACCTGAAAGCTCCTGACTCAATTAGCTTATGTACACTTATATGCTGATGCTTGGGCACACATACTTGAGTCATTCAGCCAAACAGCAAGTCAATCCTGGGGAACCTCCGCTGGCATATACTGAAATACAGCTAGATCTTGTTTACCATGGTACATTTTGACTTGAGCCCAGACTTCAGCCACAAAGGAAGCAGAAAGGCAGCCTCCACCACCAACTCACTGTGGGTCAGGCACAGCGTATGATATGTGTACAACATCTTATGAGATAAGGATTATGAGACCTTATCTCATAAGCAAGCTCATTAAACAAGCAAAGACACCCTTCATTTGCTGGAAGAAAGAAGTACAGTTGCAGAAGATTTGGATCCTAGTTCTGGAATGACCATTAATCATCTTCCAGTTAAATGACCTGTTTTCTCATTTGCAAGACAAGAGAATTGGAAAAAGAGAACCCACTGAACACCCTAAGGAGTCAGACTGCATGTTGGCCACTGATGTACTAGCACCTGTCTTAGGGAGAGACATTCAAAATATACTTGTACACTAGGCTTGGCAAAGATCTTCAAATGAGAAAACTTGATAGGTCTTTTGTAATTTTTTTTTTTTTTTCGTGTACTTCAAAAGAAGTAGTGAACAACACTTAGGGAGTACCTACTATGTGCCATGTACCGTTTTAAATCCTTTTCCTATATAAAGTCATTCAATAAAAAAAATTACACATAAAGCCTATTTTACAGATGGTGAAACTGAGGTACAGAGAGATTAAGTAAGGTACCCAAGTCACACAGCTAGGAAGTAGTGAAACTGGTATTTGAAATCCTCATGATTACTTCATTTGGATAGCAATTAGACATACCGCAGATTTGGACACAGCTAGAAATTGGTATTATGGAAACTAATATCCTCAAATGTACTTAACTGTATGTTTCTGTTGATAGTATAACAGCCTGATTCTGCCATAAAGATGTAAATATTGTGGACAGAGATGTGTCATAATTATGGAAAATACCACTTCAAATGAAATACTAAGATATCCAGTTAATAAGGCTCTCCGCTTAAGTCTAAACAATTTCCCTAAATATGCTTATAATGCATGCCAGGAGAAAGGTGTAGGAGAAAATACTTTTAGATTAGTTTGATTTTTTTTTTGTTTTAGTCTTTAGTTTTTAGTCTTTTATAGTTTTAAGTCTTTCCCCATCCTACAAAATAAACTTCTTCAAATTGTACATTTTGGAATTTTTCAAGACAAAATTCAACTTCTCCTTCATTTTCATTCTATAACCAAATAATTTTTGCTTTACAAATATCTGCATCTATCCCTTTCCTTCCTATAAAAACATTCTTGATCTTGAGAACTGAGGAAATCAAAGAGTCATCACAAAGCACGCAGGCCTCAAGGGCTGAGCTCTGAGTGCAATTGACCCATTCCTCATCTTGTGCAGGATTTGCTTGGAGTCACTTCCAAGGTCAAGGGTTCTCCCTAATCTCTTGTTTTCATCGGTGGGATACAGGAAAAGGCTGGGTCTTCCTCCCTGGTGAATGGAGGGACTAGAACTTGGAGCAGGGCTTCTGCTGCTGAATCCAGCTCTGCTCTCAGAGGAAAGGATTTCCCTCCCACAGCTCCTATGAGGAGTCACATATGAGTGGCCAGAGTAGCCTGTGTGGCACTGGTATTGGCTTAGACAGGTGCTGTGGCTGCGATCTTGCTCCCTATACCCAGGGAAGACTGCCATAGCCTGATGCCTTTTCTACCCTCTTAACTTAGCTTTTGTTCCAATAAATTGGTGGCCCATATATTTTTTTTTAAATCTTAGATATTGTTCTTGGATTCTCTCAGTTGTTTAAAAATTTCTAATTTATTTCCTTAAAAATATTTTTCAATTATAGTGTTTTATGCAGATTAATCACACAAATTTCATGGGGTTCAATGGAGCATTGTCATGTAAGGATATCGTACTTTGAATTTGTCTACCCAACTTTCTACCCTCTCTTCCACTTTGAGGTCATCTTTATTTCCTGTAAATCATCACATATGAAAAATAACATGCAATACTTGTTTTTCTGTGCCTGAATTATTTCACTTAACAGGGTGTTCTTCAGTTTCATCCATTTTACTGCAAATGACAGTATTTTATTCTTTATGGAGGAGTAACATTGCTTCATGTATAGTGGCAAGTTTTCCTTATCCACTCATCTGTTGACGGGTACCTAGGCTGATTCTATGTCTTGGCTGCTGTGAATACTGCCATGATGGACATGGGCCATGCATGTGTCTATTTTTATGCTCACTTCCTTTGGATATATGTATCCAGGAGTGAGTGGAATAGTCATATGGTATTTCTATTTCTTTTTTTTTTTCTGAGCTGGGACAAGTTTATTTTCAAAACACACATCTTGTAATGGTATATTATTACCACAGCTATGCCAGTTATAAGAAGGAAGGGGGGTGATCATTAAGCATTCTGTAGTATATGGAAATCTTGAGCTTCTTTATTCTGAAGCTTATGTTATTTAATGACTCTCTCAGTTATATTTCATGGCACAGTAAAAATTTCAATAATTAGGCAAAAATGATGCAAAGAAAATGAGGCATTTCAACCCCCAAAGGAATTTTAGTGGTTTAAGGAAAGACGGACAATAAGAAGTCTTTTTGAAGCTGGAGTTTCTCATTCCTGAATAATATAT